AGCTACAATTGAATAGAATTTATCTAGGCTTTACCTAAAAATTGTTATAACTACTTGTAAAACAAGAGAAGAATTACTACAAAACAAAATAATAAGCTAAAACTTCAGGGAGGAATTTACTCTATCACCTGTAATAATTGCCACAAGGAATACATAGGAGAAACCGTGACGAAATTAAATAAAAAGTTATATGAACGCAAAAGGGATCTTTTATAAAACAATACATTAAATGTATTGGGATCCATCTATCCATGTTTTTGTTCCTATATGAGTGTCAGGATTTCAAACATTTAAAAACAACACACACATCTGTTAAATGAAGTATGTAAAAAGTTATTTTCTGGAGGAAAAATAGAAGCAGAATATCAGTTGAAATAACATTTATATACTCTTCTCAAAAACATGCAATAACAATAAAATGCTCAATTTTCCTTGCCGTGAAGTTTGTTTTATAAAGTAATTAAGTGTTCTTAGTGCGATGTGAAATGTGTGAACAGACTTTATGACGCTCAGCCTAATGTGTTTGTGACTTCGTAGACAAAGGCTTAGTAGGTGGTTGCTGGTTAATCTCTTCTACTGTATGCGTGGACAAGGCCTTTGTTGGCAGCTGTTTAATTAAAAGAGAAAATAATTTACAAACATGAAAGTATATAGAAAGTGCTTTAAGCATTAGATCATGCACAGTAAATTTGTGTCCAGGATCTTACAACATTTCACCTTTCTTGACAGATCTTCTGTTATCACAATGTGGGAGACTTAATAACAAAAAACAAACCAAATACATAAAGAAGCTGAATGCGATTGGCTCGGCTATATACACAGACACATCTAGAAAAAATTAATTAAATTTAAAATTGCAGTGTTCCAACATTTTCAGTATTTCCTATCTGTGCATAATTAGAACCAATGTTTGCATTTTCATATCCCCCTCTCCTTCATATGCATATATAATTATATGAACAAAAACATTACTTTAGTTCAATGAAGTCCTAAATGACGAAATACATCACGCACAAAAAATTCCACTTTATCATTAATTTTCCTAATATTGTTCTGATATATAAACATTTATATATCCTCATCTCCCATATATATAAATTTGACCTCACAAAGAAGATCGAAATTTAAATTCTACATCAGTCATTATCCCAAATGAAAGCTGATATAGTAATAAAACTCCATCCAAACTTAAGAGATCTTCCTAACCCATTAATTGCAAAAATTTTTTAATACGCATTTTTGGCCCAGACAGGTGTCTTAGGAGTTTATTTATTCCTTATGTTTAATTTCAGTAGTTACCATTGTCATTTTTATAGAAACTAGAATGTAGAGGACCGTGTGGGTTTGCGTGTTGTTAAATTAGGGACACTTGCTTGTAGTGACTACTACTACGTTTGCCACGCCTACAGTTTTCTCAACTGTGATTGGTTAAATAATAAATACTGTTTACCACAGGACAATTTACTAATCGCAGTCACCACACTGAATTTTCCCGCCGTGAATTTCACAAACATGCTTTTGTTAGAAAATCACCGATTGGTTAATTTTTCATCCAATCATATATTTTTTGTGTTCGTTCAATTCTTTCGCCTTTGTTCCTGGAGCCTAGCAGTAGTTATAAAAGCAGTGTTTTGTTCCAAAAATAGACAGTAGAACCCAGCAACTCACACGCGTCTACACAAGACTATTGATTCTACTCACTGCGCACACACAGACACAGAACTTGAATTACATTTCACCATTCATTGTCTGTGAACAAGCCATGTTAAAAACCAACACTCTGTTAGTTATACAAATAACACACAACTGAATTAACTGTATGTTTTTCTGAATGCAACATTCTATTTCAACATAGAACTTTGAACATTCTATTCAAGAAACATTCTTAATTGCATTTTATCTTATTCAAGCTAATAGATAAAGGGAAGCTACTTTCTTTTCCTTAATATTCACACATTACAAAATTGTTTTGTATTTGTTGATTTTAATATGTATTTTATCGTTGGAACAAAAATCGTTTTCTCATTGTTTTTCATTGATTCAATAATGTATAAATGTTAAATGCTCTTCAACACGCAGCCACATTAATCTCTTCAACATAGTACACAAGCAGCATTTACATTCTGTTTATTCCTGCTAGAAGGTCCAACTACAAGAAAATGTGGGACTCAGATTGACTCCAACCGAAGGTGTAAAGAAAACAAAAAAGACCGATATATGTCAACAAATATATGTATTAAACAACAAATTTACAAGTGTTTCATGGCGTTTTCCCACAAGTAGGAGAAAACGCGGATCTCTAGGAGAGATCACGTTTTTAAATGTGTCTGCTGAAATGCAAAGTAGAAAAGAGAAGGAGGCAATAAATTGCCCAATATTTATAGTGTAGGGAGAGCATCTCCTAGTGAACAATTAGTGAATTAAGGAGGAGCTAACTCCGACAAGAACATCAAATGTATATGTGTATAAAACATCAAAAAATAATATTGATTAGAAATAATAAAAAATACTTTTCAAAATAGTCATTATTTTTCTACTCATGAAATGTAAAATTACGACAGAAAGTGTCTTCTTACGGCTAATAATAAAAACTTTAAATGCTAAGTGTTGTAAAATATATCCCTGCAAGTGCAATGTATGTAAGAGATTCAATGTAAATACAAGGAATAACATGTAGTGAGTTTAATTTTAACAGATCCCCAAATAAGGCTCATGGCAGGTAATGGGTTAAGACAGAAGGACTAAAAACTTGCAATAATTATAATAATCTACAAAAACAAAAAAATTCAAGGTTGTCGCAGAAGTATTAAAAAATAATTCTATTATCGTCATCAGGCGAGCTGATAAGTTTATATATATATATATATATATATATATATATATATATATATATATATATATATAATTAGGCACACCAAAATTCAAGCTACCACGCTACCCAGGTTTCGACTGGTAGGTAGGATGAAAGATTGTAGTCGACTCCACCACTATTCTGCTCTACAACTCAGATCTTCCGGATTTAATATTGAGCGCTTTTTTGGGATAGTGCCTTCTTAAACGCGGTTGTTTACAGCCTCTCTTTACAGTATACTATTCTATATTTTATATTGTATTTTAAATTGATATATATATATATATATATATATATATATATAATTTATTTTAGCATAATAAAACATTTTAAAAATGGTTACCTAATTACAATTATAATTATGTAGCGATTTTTAACATCTTTTAATATCCTAAAATAAATAATATTATATGAATCATTTATACAAAAAACAGATATAGGGGTTAATGATTTAAATGGTGAGAATACATCTTCGCAAACTAATTTAATGAAGTGCATCAACCCCGAACCTGTATATGAATGTTATGATCCCTGTTTATAAATTCCAGTTGCATAAGGTATGAATGATTCATGTAATGTAAATTGAACTGCACCACATACTTGATATATATATATATATATATATATATATATATATATATATATTTTAAATATGATTCCTTCGCTACATAAGAGTTCTCATGTTTCAAAAAATTTCGCTTGAGAATGTTCTTTTCTATTTTTCCATATATTTGCATAAAAAAAATACTCCCTCCAGCAGGATTTGAACATGTGCCACCATTTTCAGGAGAAACCATCATTTGTTCCGATGTGCTTTGATCACTCGGATACGATGAGCTTCATAATCAAGCAATTTTCTGTTTGCCATTAAAATACACTTTACTCGTTCAGATTACTTTGGAAGCCTTAACTGTTCAGTTTCGTATCTGAAACGTAAACAAAGCGATTTCTAAAGAATTAGTGGATTTTATTTTTTCATCCGACATATTTTTATTACTTCAAACGTCATTTTTATTGGATACCCATATTTGAGTAGACGTTCTATTTTTTAAACAGTATTTCGTCTACCAACCTGTACACTCGAGGAAACTTAATAAAGAAAATGTGCCTTCCGGCAGGATTCGAACCTGCATTTACTCAAATAGGGGTACCCACTAAAAATAATATGTGAGGTAATAAACATATATATATATTAATAAAGAGTGTAAATTTTCCCTCACTCCGAGTTTCATATTTTATTAGCACCTGCACTCAATGTGCAATATTTTATATATATATATATATATATATATATATATATATATATATATATATATATATGTGTGTGTGTGTGTGTGTGTGTGTGTGTGTGTGTGAAAATATATAGAAAATAGGAAAGAACTCGTTAGGTAAAAAATCCAAAGTTCTTTAATATATTGAAGTTTTCGACGCTTGTTTTGAAACATGAGAACTCTTATGTAGCGATGGAATCATATTGTTAAATAAATGATTATATATATATATATATATATATATATATATATATAAGGCTACATTTATAATTCCAAGTGTTTGATAATGTTATTAAGCTTATCAGATGATATGAAAGGAATTTGATTAAAATAAATGTTCAAAACTTGTCTATATTATTTAATGAAACATATATATATATAGTTTATGAAAAACTAGGTAATCCGTATGGGTATACCCAAAGAGGATAAAATCCAGAGAGCTCAATCCAGGGCAAATAATTTTAATAAAAACAGACCACTTTAAGGTTCCATGTAATAGATTATTTTACCACAGCCCTTTTAAAAAACTGCGGATCATCAAACTTTACTCCCAAAGGTTGAAGCAAAAATGAAATGGACAAAGTCCGACAATTATTTTAAGACATTTTTATGTTTATACATTCATTTTATACATACAAATATTTAAGTAAATAGTTTATTGTTTATTATAAACAGAGCATTTACTTAAATATTTACATCTATAAAAAGAATATACAAACATAAAAATGTCTTAAAATATATATATGTGTGTGTGTGTGTGTGTGTGCAAATCAAAAACAGTCAAGACAATGGGACAAAAGTCAGTTTATATTTTAACCAAACGTCAGTTTTATCTCATTAAAACAAAGAAAACAGAAAGAGATTTGTTGAATGACATGTCAGGTTCGGGTAGACTGATCGGCTAATCTTTTGTGAAGCCATTGGTAGATAAGTTGATTGTCGGTCGGTTGGATCATTGGACGGGTTTTGAGGTCAGGTAATTGAAGTGTGGTCGGACTACACGTGTCGACGATAGGCCGTTGAAGTGCGATCGTTCCGGTCATGTTGGCGGTCGGACAGGACGTGTCGACGACGGGACGTTGAGGTGCGGTCGTTCCGGTTGCGCTGGACGTGTCGACGACGGGCCGTTGAAGTGCGATCGTTCCGGTCATGTTGACGGTCGGACAGGACGTGTCGACCACGGGACGTTGAGGTGCGGTCGTTCCGGTCATGTTGACGGTCGGACAGGACGTGTCGACGATGGGCCGTTGAAGTGCGATCGTTCCGGTCATGTTGACGGTCGTACAGGACGTGTCGACGACGGGACGTTGAAGTGCGATCGTTCCGGTCATGTTGGCGGTCGGACAGGACGTGTCGACGATGGGCCGTTGAAGTGCGATCGTTCCGGTCATGTTGACGGTCGGACAGGACGTGTCGACCACGGGACGTTGAGGTGCGGTCGTTCCGGTCATGTTGACGGTCGGACAGGACGTGTCGACGATGGGCCGTTGAAGTGCGATCGTTCCGGTCATGTTGACGGTCGTACAGGACGTGTCGACGACGGGACGTTGAAGTGCGATCGTTCCGGTCATGTTGGCGGTCGGACAGGACGTGTCGACGATGGGCCGTTGAAGTGCGATCGCGGTCATGTTGACGGTCGGACAGGACGTGTCGTCGACGGGACGTTGAAGTGCGATCGTTCCGGTCATGTTGGCGGTCGGACGGGACGTTGAGATGCGGTCGTGACGACGGTCGGCTCGGACGTGTCGACCGTCGAACTGGACATATCGATGACGAATAGTTATGGTGCGGTTGTTCCGGACGTGTCGACGATCGAACTTGACATATCGATGATGGGTGGTTGAGGTGCGGTTGTTCCTGTCGTGTCGACGGTCAGATTGGACGTATCGACGACGGGCCGTTGAAGTGCGATCGTTCCGGTCATGTTGACGGTCGGACAGGACGTGTCGACGACGGGACGTTGAGATGCCGTCGTGACGATGGTCGGCTCGGACGTGTCGAGGGTCGAACTGGACATATCGATGACGAGTAGTTAAGGTGCGGTTGTTCCGGTCGTGTCTACGGACGGTCGGACCGGACGTGTCGACGGGCGGACTGGACATATTGATGACGGATAGTTGAGGTGCGGTTGTTCCAGTCGTGTCAATGATCGAACTTGACATATCGATGATGGGTAGTTGAGGTGCAGTTGTTCCTGTCGTGTCGACGGTTAGATTGGACGTATCGACGACGGGCCGTTGAAGTGCGATCGTTCCGGTCATGTTGACGGTCGGTCTGGACGTGTCGAAGATGTGAAATTGATCAATGTATCAGTGATGAGAAGCTGGTCAGTGTCCGCGCAGGGACGTAATGGCGGAAATGTAGCTGAAATGGTTGCCTCCTGGTCGTCTGCTTCAACGATTCGGGCAAACCGTCGGAGATATTCCATCCCGCAGATGGAAACCTCCTCCCTAAACAGAGCCGAATCGTTGAGATGATACGACTTCCAGGGCGGATCAACCGAGGAAAGCGGGATCACGCCAAAGTGTATCCCTCAGCGGGACACCGAGTAGATCAAAGGGCAGCGCGCAGATACTACACCCTGATCTTAATATTTATTTGCATTAAAAATACAAAATGTGCCACAATTGCTAAAAAGTGGGAATCGGGAAAAGACTGGTCTTCTCTAGTCCTACAATCAAAACTGGCTAGTCTCACTCGTTATCCATTCGTAATTACAATTTTTCTTTCATAATAACAACTCTTAGCTGTCACCAAAATACCTAATTTTCTCTATGAAGTCCCTAGCATGAAGTTTTATTTATACAATTATCGGGGGATGGGGAAAAAAAATCAAAACTCAATGATTATATACAATGAAAAAGATATATGTACAAGAAACTAAACAAAACAATATTAGTAGGACTTCTCGGAGAAATATTGGTTAACTGGATTAAAAAGACAGATTCGAGGAATATCTGGTCTCGACAGAGAACAAAGACATCTGTCACCTAAAAAACGAGGAGGGGTGGAAACAAGAAAGGAAAATGGGGGCCTATGTACTTGCATTAGTCGAAAAAGGGGCTAAATTTATGTCAATAACGTTTGTTCATTTACTCCCTGGCTACTGGGAGTAGAAACTGTTAAATATAAAAATATTCCGAATGCTGTTCAAATGTTCGTTAACATTCCCTTATCTGATATATTTAATGTTTGTAACTCAAAATATATCAGGATAGTTGTTTAATTGCTAATTAACTGCCGGTTCAATTCTGGGAGTAGAAGGATTGCGAAGGTCAAAGCCATCTTATTTGTTTTGTTTAGGAGTGGTGGCTGCGATAGGTCTTGCTCTGGGAGAATTTGGTGTGAATTTTTGTAAATATAAATTCTTTTTATTTTGGGGGTGAATTAACAGAAAAGGACCTGGGGGAATAAACCTAAAAATTCTGTGTGTGTGTGTGTGTGGGGGGATTAATTGGGCCCCTTGAAGGATACAAATTTCGGATAAAATGTTTTTAAATATGTAGTTACTAATGAAAAATTGAAGTAGTTACAAGAATATTAAAAAAACAATTTTAGTTGAAATGTTTCATGTTTGACACCAAAAAAGCATCATATATATATATATATATATATATATATATATATACGGAGGGCGGGGCCGAACATACGTAATGAAGAGGCCTCCAAATTAAATTAGGTCTAAACACGACCCTGCTTAATAACATTACTTTATGATAAAGCATGTAGCTAGCTTATCATTTACTTTGAGAGCATCTCAAAGGAGACAACTGTAAAAATAGAACACGCAGTTACTTCCCTTGGACATCTTTATGACGTAAGTAATATAATGTATTATTACGCCTTGAAACAAAATAGTTCTGGGTGTAAATACACGTTTTGTTGCAATGCGTTAAAGTTTTCTTTACAAAAGAAAGCAGATAAGCATTGAGTCAACAGTTTGGAAGTAAAATCATATCCAATATTCTTTTGAAAAGTTCTGTATTTGCTGTGTTCCAAAGGTAAATACATTGTGTTTAGGTCAGGTTTTGAAACTTTAATGATTTGACGCCATTGTTGTGCCTACTTTCACTCTTTTTCACAGTAAGTGTTTGGGTGGATGATTAAAAACAACATCCTTCGTGTCGACTTTTCGCTCATTTAAGTTTTGTTTTGTCAGCTGAACCCCCTGAGGAACCAGTGTACCGGTTATTATGAAAATGCGACTAAAAATCGACCAAAGGGATGACCCTTCGTATATATGTTGTTTCTGCTGTTCAGTACGAACCGGAACAATTATGCTTGGCTTGTGGCATTTAGTAAGTAAAAAAAAAAAAAAACATCTTTCTTTTTTTCTTTTCTTATTAAAGTTTATATGACGTAGATGGCTTTTTGGTGTGGAAAATAGATTTAGTTTCTAATTTCGCTTTATCCAGTTAAAATAATTCATTAGTGAAATATACTGCTTGCATTTTTTTTAAATGCATCTAAAAAATAAAGTCTTTTTTTAGGGGGTACTTTATTCTGTTTGTTTAAAACTTTTATTCTTTTAAGTAATTTTCCTTACCTGAATAACAATATATATATATATATATATATTATAAAATCTGAAACAATTTAAGTAAATTAGTTATCACGATCTCTAATGGGAATGCTGTTTATTTATTATTAATTTGACATTTTGAATGCTTAGAAATGATGAAAATGTCAAATAATGTGACATTTAATTTTGAATTTAAATATGTGTTTTAAAACCTAAAATTTGTTGAAATTTTAAATGTATTTTTCTTATCATATTTACGTTGTATTTTGGGGGTGTGTGATGAAGAATATATTTTCAAAAGATAAAACTAAAAGAAAATTAGTTTTTTTTTTTTCTTTTTCTTTAACCATAATCAAATTCCTTTACTTATAAACTGTTTATTTTAAAAAAAGGAAACTAATTGTTTATTTTTTTAAAAAAAGGAAAATAACTGTCAATAATCGAAATTTAAAAAAAAACAGATTTTTTAATTTTCAAAAAGAAAAATAACAAAACAAAAACGTGAATTTTGAAAAGTCACAAAAAAACCCTTAAAGGCTCCCCTAAAAACATACCAAATCACTGGTAAAATAAAAAATCAAACAAAACTAAATAAAAGTGTTCGCTAACAAAACTGTTTTTTCTTCCTGTTGATGTAAAATTGGCTTGAATTTTACAAAGACCCTGTCCTAGTCTTCTTCTAAAATTACAGATACATTATCTAAGCTTTCTGGGAAAAGCCAGCTCGAAACATTAATAATTTAGAGACTAGACACTTAGAGAAATTATTTTCATGGATCCATATGGGACCATTGAAATGTAGCATTGTCTGTGATCATTTTTTTTTTTTTTTTTTACTTCTGTCCTAATTACAAAAATAAGGTATTCATTCAAAAATTAAAATGCTGAAGTATATACTTTTACAAAAAAAAAAAAATGTTTATTTCCTGAGTTTTAATTCAATTGTTAGCAACTTTGTTTTAAATTTGATGTTATTTTTCTTGTGAGTTTATTTAATTTTTTTAGATAAATAAACTTGGACTTCGTTCCATGATAAATAAGGTAATTTAAATTAAACTTTGATTGATTGAACTGTCTTTTTATTACTTTTTTAAAAAAAAATTCCTTTTGTTTTAATTAAAAAAGAAATTAAAAATCATCGTGTCTATGACATAAAAAAATATTGGAGATAGGCTAAAAAAAAATCATAGAAAAATGGCATAAATTTTATAAAAACATATCACCTTTTTTTTTTTTCTTTCTGTGGAAGACAAAAATAAATATAAAATTTAAAAAATCAAAAGAAGTCCTCAAATGCAATACAGAATGAGAATTGAAGTATTATTCAGGTTAAAAAAAAAAGGATAGCTATTTTTAAATTGGCAAATTGTCTATGGCGGACGAAACAAAAAATATATGTATCCTGTTTTGTTTTACGTGTGTACACAGAAAGTATACGATTTGCTTTGAAAATCGTCAGTATCCGCCTTAAAACAGGACATTTATTTAAAAACAGAAAATTATATTTTCTGACAAAGATAATTTTTAGATGGTTGTGAGTGGAAATTATTTATTTTTTTTATTTTCGTCTTTTAGGCAATCAAAAAAAGCTAGTGCTCGTCGAGTTCTAACGAACAAAAAAGTGTCACATTTTGTTTATAAAAAAAAGAAAAGAAAAGTGTAGATTAGATACAATAACAACAACAACAACAACAATTTGTAATATTTTGAATACAACCCCACAAAGTAAAACTAACTAGACTACTCACTAGGTACCAAAACAAAATGATCATTGTTATATTTTTTTTTAATTTTCAATCGCATTTAATTTAACAAAATTTTTAAAGTATCAAGAGAAAATGGTATATAAATTGACATATAATTTTATAAAATTTTATACTAGTATTTAATCTTATTCTTAAATGACTTTGTCATCCCAAAATTAAATTTGATTTTTTTACCACGATATTTGCCAACAGAAAAGTTAAATCATTCCTCTACAAAATAGTGTTAGAAATAAAAACGTAAGATTCAATACCACTCTAAAAATGATTACTTGAAAGAATTAAAAAAAAAAAAAAAAAAAAAAAAAAATTTTTTTTAGTCATTTCAACTATTGAGTGAATATATTGATTCGGCTTAAACTGCACGCGATGAAAGCTTGCTTAAATGTTTTCCGAGACAATCTTGAAGTATGGATGGCCAAAAAAGACAGTCAAAATAGTATTTCAACGTTAAAATATCGCCAAATGGTTATTTCTTGCTAGTGTCTACTTGTCAGGCAAAAACTCTCTAGTAAAAAGAAAAGAAAGTTATTTACATACTAACTAACCTCGTATTAAAATGTAAAATTTATTAGAAATTTAAAATTAAAAATCTCATAAATTTTCAAGCTTGCATTTGATTTGCCATTTGGGTTGGCTATTCACTTGCATGTATCTTTGAAAAATCCTTAAAACAAAAATTATACTTTTTTATTTTTAAAAAAACTTTGAGCGATTTTTACTTTTTTTAAAACTAAAAAAAAGTGTTTGTTTTACTTTTGTTGAAATAGTATCCAAGTTTATTTGGAAAGATTAATTTTTTCTGACCATAATAAATACAATAATAATAAAATAAAAACACTTGGCAATTCGAATTCCTCATGTGACATTTTCACGAGTTGTGTAATGTTCAGATGATATCACTTTTTTTTTTATTCATTTGTGTTGTCACATGGGTAATAGTGCGGAAAAGAAGAACCTGAATGGTTCGAAAATT